GTTGAATATCGTCATCAAAGTATTAAGATATATTATTTTCGTGTTATATTCGTTTGTTTGTTTTTGTTAAAATACCAGGAAAAAATAATTAAATACTTATAATTTAATCTGGAGAAACATTAATTTATTAATACACAATAAGGAAAATGTCGTTTATTACTACTAATTTTATTAGAAAATATAAAATGTTCAGATGACATAACATGTATTAAACATTTGAGTATTTTGTAATGATTATTGTTTCATCTATTATTAATCTAAAGTAAAAATGATATGATATAGTAGAAGTGGTCAAATTGTGATTCACTAATCTTATACCGCTCATTTTTCCTTCGAAACCTTAATAAAAAATGATTAAGTAAATTACATTCCACTGAAGAAGGCCCGGCATGGCCAGGTGGTTAAGGCACTCGACTCGCAATCTGAGGGTCCCGGTTCCCCGTCACACCAAATATGCTCGCCCTTTCAGCCGTGGGGCATTATAATGTTACGGTCAATCCCACTATTCGTTGGTAAAAGAGTAGCCCAAGAGTTGGCGGTGGGTGGTCTTACACTACTAAATTAGGAACGGCTAGCGCAGATAGCCTTTGTGTAGCTTTGCGCGAAATTCAAAAAACAAACAAACCACTGAAGAAACAAACAAAATAAATAATACTAAAACAATGACAAAATAAACAAAAATATATACTTTTTTTTTTGCTTCGATTCCAATATGCTGGCGTGACGTCACACACTTGGCAAGCACTAACTTAATGCACCCTGCCAGTTATGACGTAGCTACGTGCTAATAGCTATAAATAACGTGTATTTACCTAGTTGATGACCTGAATTTGGGCGATAATTATGGTAATTCTAAACAAAATTCAACGTTAAGGAATCACGTACCGGATTTCAAACATCTAGCCATGGTTTCATATGGTAGAATAGCAAGAGACCACTACGCAAGAGTTTAACACAGAGCATGCCTAAGAACTTCCCCAAATGAAGTTTGACATTAGCTTTTAGGAAAATTCCGTTAGAAGACTATCCGTTAATTCTTCATAACAAGAAAAGTTTGCCAAACCAGAAATAACCAAATTGCAAATACCTTTGCAACCTAAAATCCGATTAACAATTTTATAAGCTTAATGAGCTAAACTCAGTATAGGCAAAGAGCAAAATACCCGAAGGAAACATTACGCTAAAGTTTAGCTTCCTAAAATGCGTGTTTTTAAAAATATGAGAACGAATTTGAAAATATTTGATTAAGTTTCACATTATCCAACTTCAACACAAATAACTTTGCGCTGTTATTGTGTTTCAAAAATCGTTAAATACGAGATTTATCTTTTAAGAAGCAAGCAATTTTGTTATAAAAAATTTGTCACTCTTATTTATTCGAGGTGTAATTTACAATATTGTTACGACAGCGGAAGTCATGTGACGCTGGTAACACGACATGAGATTCTCGAAGGATCTTGACTTTTCCTGGCAACTCTAGTCTGCTCTAGGCGCTCTCTCTTTTTTTAGTATATAAGCCGGAGATAGATTGAATAGAAATAATTCGAGTCAAGCGAGCAGTAGGTACCGTAAGTAAAGTGTGTGAATCGCTGTGAATTATAGCTTGTGTTTATAAAAGTAGTTAAGTTTAAAGTGACTGTGGAAATTAAGTGTATCACAAAGTTTGTAACGAGAAAGAATAAACTAGTTTTATTTAAGAAAGGACTTGTGTCGCTGAAGTTTCCCGGAAAAAAATTTTACGGGAAATTATCAAACAAGTAGATACGTAGCAATATAAATAAAGCCAGTGACACATTACTTGTGATTATTTGTTTGTTTTGTTGATAAGCGCAAAGCAAAGGTGTTATATCTGTGCTGTGCACACCGCGGAGAGCTCTAACCCGAATTTTAGTATTATAAGCTCTTAAATCTACCGCTGGGCCGAAGGGAAATTACTTTTTTATGTAAATGCATAATGACGAATATGTTTGATATCGTGATATCAAAATCAGAGGTTCGATTTAACGTACCAAACGTTTCGTGTGCACGAAACATATTTCACGAGATGTGGTAGCATAAACTTATTATAAAACTTGCATTAATACTAGCAATATGTTAGCTATTAAACACGTGACTTTAAAAATTGTTAACCATCAATTAGATAAATAATCTGTACTATATGGTACTACGTTTATATGTTTACTGTTTGCTAATAATGTAGGTGTCATATTGTGTAACTACCAAGGTAATATTAGTTTAAGCTTGGAAATGTCTAAATTCAGATGCACCAATCAAGTTATGCCTTTTACCAGGTATTCATTAAACATAAAATCAGAGATGTGAGATACTGTGATAGTAACCAAACTGTATCTAACAAGTGAAGTCTCACGTTTAATGTTTATAGGTGATGGATGAAAACGTGAAGTGATAAACTTAGTTAAAACTGCAGACAAATAAGTTTTGTTTTCAGTTAAATTCCAACATTTTGTTTGCACCAACATCCAACGACATCTATAGAGATTTCGAGAAAACATTCTTCTTTTCCAAGAAAATCAGCTTCAATCCAATCATTACTAATTGAATCAGTGGGTATAAACCATTAAACTTTTACGTGAAATACTCAAATGTTCTGAATATGTCTAAAAACATCATTACATAAGTTGCATATATATTAATTAGAAATATATTTATCAAGTGTAAGCAGAATTATTGGTTACATAAATTTCATACAATACAGACATTAATGAGTGTGTCAATGCATATGCTGAGCTTGTGAATAATTATGAATTTTAACGACAATGGTTTAATATTCAGGTTACGAGTAAATATGCTGTTGCGTTTAAAAAGAAATATATGGACGAAATTATAATCTGATATATTCCCAATATACCACCTTTCAGTAAAATGTTGACTTTATAAATAACAAATAACAGCTAAAAATGAAACAAAAAGCAATAATTCAGTTTCTTGACAGTATAACTGAATGAGTAATTTTGTATTATATTCTGAAATTATATTAATTAATGACAAAACTTTCGTATTTACATTATTATAAAATAAATATTATGAATGAATTTGTTCTATCGAAGGTTTTCAAAACTTAAACATTTCTTCCAAAGGAGAGAGGGAGAAAAGTCAACGATGGCTATATAGTACCTGCACAGTGGCTGTAAAATGTGATGTGTTTTTTACAGGATTATACGGATTGAACGGGTTATCAATTATTAATTCTCATGGGCGTCAAACATTTTCGATGTTACTGATGGCACGATATATATTCACAAAGCAACTGGGAGTGAAAAAAATATTAACGTTTCTAACAAATTATTGTTCATAGTTTTATATTTATTTTAGAATCCTCTGTCTATAATACTAGTGAATTACCAAACACTAAAAGATAAAACATGTATTATATGTTTTCAGTTTATTAGATGACTTAAATCACTCATTAAAATTATGGAGACATAAGAAAAAAAAATTAAGTAGAATATCTGACTTTTTATTTGATATCCAAATATGTTCGAAAATATCAACTCCGCGTCTAAATGAAGTGTAGGCCTACGTGAAGTTCAGGAACATTTACCAGTTACGATCGACTTAATATTTTACCCTTTCATCTACACACTAATGCATTAGCTATAACAGTTAGGATAGATAATGATGTGGTTACAACAGTCCATGCATAGCTGTATGTTATTAACAAATCAATACAGCTAATGGATTGCAGATATTTTGGTGGACTTACCTTCCACTGTCAGCCTGTTGTTGTTTGAGGCTACCTTCAGCTCTATTCTTCCTCGTCTTTCAGTGTAATCACAGCCACACAGGTTCGGGACACTCTCTTGGCAGCGTTTGTGAACATTCATGTCACAAGCTGAAATATCAGAATGTCGGAATCACAATAATTCTAGTTAAATCAGTTTACGTGGTCTTTATTCAAGATATTGTATGTTAGGGAATATCTAAATAAAATGCATAAGCTTAGGTTTCAAATTTACGCCAGCAATTGCCAATGGTGACTGTTTTGGATTTCACAACTTCAAGTGCAAAATCTTTGTTTACAAATAATTTACTGTTACGTTTCAAGGGCATTACAAAGTACCCTTATTCCCCAATGCTATTATGCTATTTTTTCTTTTTACAGAATGAATTAATTATTATAATATAAAGCAGGCAATAGCTTCTAGAGAAGAATTTCTATAGGAAGGGTTAGTTTTTAATTAAAAGAATAATTTAAATTAACCTTACGAAGATTTTCAGTGTGGATGAGTCAAATGAGAGCAGTAGTAAACCAAGAGAACTTGTTAGAAATTGCACGATAATAATACTCAAGCGTTCTCATGGGGGACAGTCAAGTTGAGTAGTAATCAGTAAACTTCCTACAGATGTCAACGGGGTGGTTAATACCTTGGCTAGTACTAAAGTGGTTTCATTGGGAGACGAGTCAAGTTGAATAGTAATAAGTAAACTTCATAGATATGTTAACAGGGTGGTCAGTACCTTGGCTAGTACTAAAGTGTTCTCATGGGGGACGAGTCAAGTTGAGTAGTAATCAGTAAACTTCCTACAGATGTTAACGGGGTGGTTAATACCTTGGCTAGTACTAAAGTGGTTTCATTGGGAGACGAGTCAAGTTGAATAGTAATAAGTAAACTTCACAGAGATGTTAACAGGGGTACCTCTTATATCCAGAAAATTAATGTTTATAACGTTCAAGAACCAATCGCATTATGTATTATTAGGGCGTTTCACAGTAATCAACATAACAGATTTACTTCTGTGCTAAAAATAAATGAATTTCAAACCAGAAAGGTTTAGGAGAAGTTTTTCTAATATATGACAGAAACCATGTGTATGGTGTTAGTAATATCTTTCATTCACTATCAGAAACCAAGTGAAATTGTGACAAATCCCACAATAGTGCGGTTCTAGAATTGTTTCTCTAAAATATAAAATTTTGTAAATTATAAAACACTCTAATATTTGAAACCAGTTGAGCAACAGTTTCTAAGGCAAAATAGTATTCTAGATTAAATAATAAAATCTTAGAAACTTTGTGAAAATACTTTTGTAATAAGAATCACTCGTAAAGTTGGAGTCATTAGTACTGACTATCCTACTAACGTTTTTAACACCGGACTATCTCTAACAAATTTACCCTACTTATTACTACTCTACTTGACTCGTTCCCCATGAGAACCCTTTAGTACTAGCCAAAGTACTGACCACCCTGTTAACATCTCTAGGAAGTTTACTTATTACTACTCAACTTGACTCGTCCTCCAATAAAACCACTTTAGTACTAACCAAGGTACTGACCACCCTGTTAACATCTCTAGGAAGTTTACTTATTACTACTCAACTTGACTCGTCCTCCAATAAAAGCACTTTAGTACTAGCCAAGGTACTGATCACAATCAGTAGTAGTCCAAAATTATCTATATCTTGGATGGAGGGTGGCTACTAACTACCTCTACAGCTATGTATACAGACGGTCTACTACTTCTATAGCTGTGTTTACACAGGGGTTACAAGCAAATTAGTGTTCACTGAAATAGTTTAATTTATATCTAGAAATGAAAGGTGTTTACAGTTTTTTGATTGCTATCAGAAAAGCGACAATTTTTTATTCTTTAGATTTGTATAAAATGGTGAATTGTGGAGTTTATCATTCTTCAAGCTTTTATCAGACCACGAGAAAATTGAAGAATGTAGCATTTATTAGAATGTCACCAGATCAAGGGAAGTGCGGGTATTTAATATTCTTCAGAATATCGTCAAATAGAAGGAAAAACGGGAATTTAACACCATTTCAGTTGTTATGACATCACGAGGGGGGAAAAATCAGGAATTTCTTAGAATGTTATCAGATCGTGGAGAAACGAAAGTTATCAATATTTGCGAATTTTGACAAATCATTGAAAGAGCCGTATTACTTAGCCTTAGAGTTTTATAAAAATGTGGCTACGGAAAGATATTATGCACTTTTTAGGATGTTATGGAATAACAGAAAATAAGAATTTTTCGGACTTCAAATATTCACTCTATTATGACACGAACCTGTGTAGGATGCGTTTGTTTGAATGTAGTATTTTCCAAAGATAAAATAAGGACAGTTCAATTACTCGTGTGCAAATGCGTGCTTTAAAAAACTTTTCAGGTTAACTGTATAAAGCCGAAACAAGAAACATGTTTAACGCTATTAAATAGTTTTTTCTTCACGAAAATAATAGAAATTTGATTTAATATACACATACGTTGTGTATGTTTACATATAAAGTATCTTGAAATATATTTAATGCTTCACTACTCATTAACCGTGTGAGAGTTAAGCGTTCCGCTCATGAAGAGATAAGATTTAATATTGCAACAATTAATCATATTACTTTGTCTAAGTTAGAATAAATAAATAACAATAATCAATAAAATTATATTTCCCCTTTTACGTTTGATTTTAAGTAATTTGGTCACATAATGCAAATAATTATGGAAAACGTAGGAAAACAGTATAAAATGCAAACTTCGTGAATGCCACCCCTTTAGCGTGTGAAAAATCAATTGCACTGGAGAGAAGTCATGTGTTAATCAAATACGTTGTGGTTGATTCCAATAGGAATGTGCCACACCAGTATAAATTCTTTAAACGTGTAGACACACATACTATGCCCAGTCATAGTGGTGTAAGTCCAGTTTTTGCTCCCAGGACTGAAATACCGAGTGGAAAGCATATAGAAATGAAAGCTTTGGCTAGTCAGTGATTCTACGTGCGAAATATTGCATTGAGTAAGTTTCAATAGGAATCATCTGCAAGACACTGTAAAGGGTACATTAAAGTGGTATTGTTAATAGTGGAAGTAGTCGAAGTAGAAAACTGAAAATCCCCCAAAGTGATATTAAGTATCGCAGAGAATGGTTTTTGTGAAATAGGTGGCAGTTAAGTATAGATCTTGGGAGCGACTTAGTGTGAATGCTGCCTCAAGAACAGTAATATACACATCATAGCAAAGTGTCTGAATGGCCACGAGAAGAACGATATCATATTCAAGTTACAATATCTAAAGAGAAGTGTGGTAGGGAATCAATGCAAGTTTTGTGTTGCAGCTCAGTCAAGGGTATTGGTGATCTATGCAAAACTGATGGTTGGTTGTTTGGTGTTTTATGGCGCAAAGCAACTAAGCTATCTGCGCCAAACTACCGGTAAAAACAGTAAAAGTAAATTGTAGTAAAATGTAAGAATAAAGTGAGTTAAAACCAAAATATGTCCAAATAACAGATAAAAGAATTAAATAGAATTAAAAAGACCAATTGTTCGTAAAAAATTGCAAATACAATTAAGTTGGACAGTGTCACCATCGCCAATAACACTGTCCAACGTCAGGGGAAAACCCTTACAAAAAACGTGTCTAAAATGGGGCCGTAACGACGGCACGACAGTAAAATGTGGCCTATTGTGACTTGAGTGTCACAAAGGCTATACATCCTATGAAAGAAAACGATAAATTAAAAACTGTGACCAATGCGTAGCCTTGCCAGGACAACTTCTTCCTTCCAATTCTTATCGAAGCAAGACGGCCAAAGAGCAACAGAAGGTTTGATCTGGAGAAGCTTGATATGATGTTGCTCAGCCCAAGTCGACTGCCAACTGGCACGAAGCCGCGCCTTGAAGACAGGACCGTTGTCCATGTATAGGACTGGCACGGCCATAACGGCGCCAGAGCAGACGGATTTAGCTTGTTCCCATGAATACCGACGTCGCCAGGTATCCAGAAAAACTAGATGGAAACGGAAGATTGAGAAAAATGGGCTAGTCTTTGTTGAATATCGACGAGAACAAGGTGAGGACTAACGTTAAGCGATTCCAGAACCAGTAGAGAGCCAAGAGAATCAGTATAAATAGTACAATCATTATACTGCATAGCATACAACTGGGCAGTGAAAACAGAAACTGTAAAGGGGGATCCTGTGAGCAACTACCAAGCCACAGCAAAACATGGCAGAGCCTACAGAGTCACCCGATTTTGAACCATCTGTGTAAATAGGAAGAGAAAAAATGGCTCGAAAGATGTTCAGCAAAAAAAAGACGGTACTTCCAATCGGGAGTATCTGCCTTCTTAAGAT